GACGGAGTGCGGTAGGGGAAGAGGCGGTAGTAGGGGACCGACTCGTCAAACTTGACGTCCTGGGAGGACAGAACAGGGCGAGAGGTGGGGTGGTAGAACTGCCACCCTGGAGCGTCAGGGGGGAACCCAAGGAAGACGCAAGGAGCAGTACGAGGGGACAGCTTGTCCGCAGACAAGTCGCGGACAAACGCCCGCGATCCCCAGACACGGAACAAAGACGCATCGCAAACCTTCCCCGTCCACAGCAAAGCTAGGGAGGTCTCCGACATGGAGACCCAGGGGTGAAGGTTGATCCGATGCGCTGCGTACCGAACCGCAAATGACCACAGAAAATGGGGGGCAGCCGCATGCATCATAGACGGCGGGGCGACGTCCATGACCATGCCAATGCGGCGCTCAGCAATCCCATTTTGCTGTGGTGAGTCCGGAAGCATGAAGGTCTGGCGGATGCCTCGTGCACGAGAGAAGGCTTGCAGAAGGCTAGAGGAGAACTCTCCGCCTCTGCCAGAGTGCAGACGTTGAAGAGGAAAGTCCGAGCCGAAGCTCCTCCTGAGCTGGAGACGAGCTACGCGGATCCAGTCGGTCAACACCTCAGTGACATCACCCTTGCTGCACAAGGGGAAGACTGTGGTGTAATACGAGTAGTCGTCCTCTACCAGCGGGAAGTAGCGCTCGTGACCCTGTCCACGGACGCGGCCCGGGCCCCAGACATCCATGTAAAGCGTCTGCAGCGGGGCCTCTGTCGGAGAAAACTGGGAGGAGTGAGGGGCAGCCCGCTGCCGCCCTTCGACACAGAGGACACAGGTAGGGCAAGGCCCAGGAGGAAGGGGAGGGAGGGACCGGGGAAGACCAGAGACAAGAACACGGGAGGCCATGCCTCGGAGACGAAGCACGGAGGGGTAATGAAGGCGTTGGTGCCACAGGAGAGTCTCGTGAGACAAGAGGCGACACGAGCAGTGGGCAGACTCAGGACCAGACCTGGACGCTGCAGCAAATACGTGACCTGACGTAGCTACCTGACCAGACGCAGTGACACGAGGAGACGCAGTGGATAGTGTGCACACTCTCAACCTCGTCGACGTGTAAACGTGGCCAGGAGTCGGCCTGTCCGAGCGTTTGTGCAGTGGGTCACCCGCTGACTTGCAGGAGTGAACTGGTGAACCCGTGCATCGTGTAGGTGAGCACCACTCACCATGTTCGTAGAGAATGAGGGGAGGTAAAGACCAGACAATGTGCCAGAGGGGGCGGCCGGAGACGAGAAGCGAGTGGAGATGTGAGAAAGGACAGGACCCCTAGAGGGGTCCGCCAGAGAGAGTGCAACTGGCCGACCAAGCAGGGTGACTGTGGTGCGGTCTCAAAAGAAGGAGCGAGAAGCCCGTGAGTCAAGAGTGAAGGTGAGGGAGGCCGAAGCCGACGCGGTACCTGAGAGCGCAGACTCACCAACACCTGAGCAAGCAGACGCACTGCCACCTAGAGCAGCTGCCTCGCTAGCACCTAGAGCAGTAGCCTCACCAGTACCTAGAGCAGCAGTCGCAATGTACGGGTCGGGCGGAAAACACCGTTAACAGTCACCCTCATCACTAATAGTCACAGCATACATGGCAGCAAGAATAGCATCAAAGTCAAGGTCAAAGATAGCGACTCCTGCCCTAGACAGCTCACCCCAGCGGGGGATCTCAGTGGCCTCCGGGAACTGGTGACGCCAAGCGTCCGTCAGGCGGCCAAAGCAGCGCTGGGTGGGGTGCGCACCCCCATACTACTCACCCGCGCGGTTGCCGGTGCGTAGGACGTAGGTGCACGGACAAGTACCCCCACCCCGCTGACGTGCAGCGTACCACTAGCGGAGCTGCTGAGGGGGGGGGATGTCCCGAGTGCGCTGCTGCTGTTGCTGGCGCGGACCACCACCAGAGCCGACCCTCTGCGTAGCACCACCCCGACCAGCTCCACCTCTTCCGCCACTACCTCCTCCACCGCCGCCACCTCCGCCACCTCCGCTCCCACCGCCACCGCCACCGCCACCTCCGCCTCCACTGCCGCCACCGACACCCCCACCCCCGCCACCATTCCCACCGCCACCCCCGCCACCATTCCCACCGCCACCCCCACTCCCTCCATCGCCTCCACCGCCGCTTCCACCGCCCCCGCTAGCCCCTCCAGCGCCCCTGCCCCCCTTGCCATTTCCAGGGCGGCGTCTCTCGCTAGGGGTAGACGCCGCACCGACCTACTCAAGCCCAACGAGGTCGTCCGCAGCAGCAGACGCAATAGGGGGGAGGGGGAACACCCCTCAAAGATGGGGGTGCGAGGGTCACCACGGGAGGCTCCTACATCGACCATGCTCTTCTCTGCCGCTGGGAGGGCCTTCTCGAGGAGGTCAACGGTGAGAGTGGTGGGGCAAACTGAGAGGAAGTGGTCCCGGACTACGCGAAGAGAGTCAGGGAGCTAGGTGACTACGTAGTAGAGGGTGATGTACATGGGGGGGGGTTCTTGGCGCAGAACTCAGCAGGAAGCGCAGCGCGGTAGCGAGTCTCACTAGTGCGGAGGTGCGTAATGAGGTCAGCGACTATGGGAATGGCAGCAAGGTCAGGGAAGAGGTACGGTATTATGAGGCGGCTCAATGCAGCAGTGGCAGGGTAAGAGTAGCGGGCAGCTACAGCGTGGTACAAGGTCTGAGCACTCTTGTACTGGCTAAAGTGTGCACGCTCAGAGGTAGGCAGGTGGCGACGCACAGCAAGACGTGCAGCAGCATCGCGACTGGCCCACTATGAGCGAACAGTGGCGTCAGCATCAGCACCAGGGGTAGGAGAGGCACTAGAGGTGAGGTCAAAGAGGGAGAGACCGTCCGCCCTATCGCACTGTAGAAAAAGTTGCAGGTCATCTACCCAGACGTCAAAGTCAATGGCCCGACCCTCAGCGTCAAAAGCGAGGACACTAGGGGTAGCCATGACAGCAGTAGACTAGGAGCGCGAACAGTGGGGTAAGGGCAGTGCAGTGGTGAAGGCGCTCCGCTTACCGGACAGGGCGGCTCGACCAGCTCCGCGGCTCGGCAGAAACTGTAGCTCGGCGGCTCGGCAACTCGGCGGCTCGGGCAGCTCGGACGACTTGGCACTAACTGTGTCTCGAGCGGCTCGGGCGGCTCGGCGGCAACTACGGCTCGGGCGGCTCCGCGGTAGCTGCAGCTTGGCGCGCGGCGCTCTTGCGGCTCGGGCGGTGGGGCGGCTCGGGTGGCGCTGGCGGCGCGGTGGTGACGGCGGGGCTGCGTGAAGGCAGGGGCGGGGCCGGGAAGGGCAGCTCGGGGCCGCAGGGGTAGGCGATGGGGCCAGGAATGGCGGCCCTGGGCCGCAAGGGTAGGCGACGGGGCCAGCAGAGGCGGGGCCGGGTCAGTACGGGTGGCGTCGGGGCCGGAAAAGGGCTGCACCGGGGCCGTAGGGCGGCGGATCGGGCCCGGGTAAGGGCGGCGCGAGGGCCGCGGGGGTAGGAGACGGGGCCGGGAAAGTGCGGCGCGAGGGCCATGGGGGTAGGCGACGGGGCCGCAGGGCGGCGAATCAGGGACAGGAAGGGCGGCGCCGGGGCCACAGGGCGGCGGATCAGGGACGGGAAGGGCGGCGCCGGGGCCGCAGGGCTAGGCGACAGGGCCGCTAGGGCAGTGGATCGGGGCCGCGAGGGCGGCGCGATGGGATCAGAGAGGGGAGCGCGACTCGGGCAGGGGCTGAGTGCGCTCAGGGCAGGAAAAAAAAAATCGAATTGGTGGGCCCTAGGAACAGTTCCCTCGGGGGAACCTGCTCGATACCATGAGAAAACTAGAACGGGAAATGATGAATGACTAAGTGAAAGTTTGGTACAAATATGAACCCCTAGAAATCTAGACCCCATATGTGCTGCCCCATTATAGCCTACAATAGCTGTGTCATATAAATCTGACATGCACTTGCTTGTTTACCTTTATATATATGATCTTGCATGTCAACTGGCCATGTGGCCTTACTCTTGTGCTCGGACTGTGTAGTGACTTTGTGATCCATCCTGAGCTTTCTTTGCTTTGCTTGACTCGTCTTGTGACCCCTTGTTCTCCCCCACTTTGCCTATGGGGGTGTGTCAGAACATTATAGCTTATACATTTGTATAGGCAGTACTGGGGTAGCTCATAAGGGGTACAACCCAATTAGGGTTAGTACTTGTTCCCAAGTCTTTCATAGTTCAATCATTCTCTCGTTCTCATATACACATAGACTAAATCAGGCTGATAACGAGAGCCATATGTACAAAAAGGCTGCACCTTCTGAAATGCCTCGCTCCAACAAGCACTATGAATGGGTTGAGTAGGGCCTAGTTTTCCTCATATGTTTTTTGTACAAATAATATTTCAATATATAATAATGTTCCAAATGACAAGTACACTGAAGTCCTATATACCACTAAATTACACCAAATACCTATACACCATTGCACCGAATTCCTAGACACCACTACATTACACATGTTTTAGGACGCGGCACAAGTTTTCATTTTTCCAGGATCGGGTGGGTTCGGGGCCTCTCATCGATCGTGGCACATCGATCGGCACACCGATGTGCCCACACGGCAAATTTGCAGTGGGGTAGACACATCGAGCTATAGGTGCCAGGATCGAAATTGCAGGGTCGGGCAGGTTGGAGCTGCGTTGGAATACACCAGCACACTGCAACGCACAGCCAATCAGGGCAGAGCGTAGCTAGTCGCCCAGCAATTTCATTCGCAACGACTCTAGAATTTTTGGCCTGCGACCGTGGACGACGCCGATCGATCGCGGCTGTCACCTGTGGTGCGATGTGCTCTCCCGCCAACCCAAACGCACGGTCGATGTGTGCACCACAGCACATCGATCGTGCGAGCTGTAGGTGCCAGGGTACCAGTTTACTGTACTTCTTCGACGTCTAGCGAAAGACGGATACCAGGCATTGACGACGTCGCCAATTCACTGTACAAGCGGCACATCGATCCCCTCCCACGATCGATCCCGGCAAATGCCAAACAGGTGCCGCGTCCTGCGTCGCCCCTCCGTGAGTGGCGCATGTGAACGAGCGCCGCCCCGCGTGAGTGGCGCGAGTGAACGAGCGGCGAGCGGCGGGCGGCGAGCGGCGAGCGGCGGCGAGTTGCGAGCGGCGCGGCTGACGTTGCGGGTGGCGAGGGGACTGTGGCGAACGGTGCGAGTGGCGAGTGGCGCGGTGACGCGGGGCACTGCTGACGCGGCGGGTGGCGAGGGGCCAGTGACTAGCGGCGTGAGCGGCGAGTGGCGGGCGCGGCGGCTGACGCGATGGAGAGCGACGCGTGTCTGGAGAAGTTTCTCGTCTACGAGACCCAAGCGGTGCGTGCCGCCCGTTGCGGCGAGCCTCGCTGCGCTGCGTGCGCTGGAAGGCGGCGCGCTGTGTTGTGCGCGGCATTATCTGCGCGGCATGGTGTGCACGGCATGGTGTGTGCACACACAACCACTTCAACCCCCTCCCCCTCCCCCTCTTGCTCATTCCCTCTCCCTCCCCCGCCCCCTCCCCATTTTCCTCTCCTCCATTTCCTTTCCGCCTCCCCTCCCTTTCAGTGCTTGTACAAACCATCCAGAACAAGGATCAGAGACGTTTTGCATCCATTCAAGACATACCCTTTCCATCCCTCCCCCGTCCTTTTCCATTTCTCCCTCCTCCCCACCCTTCAGCGCTTTTACGTACTGGGTAGGGGCAAGAACAATGATCAGACGCGTTTTGCGTCGACTCAAATCATACCTTTTCCATTCCTCCCGCCTCCGGTTTCTGTTAACTTCCCCCCTTCCCACCTTCCACGGCGCGTCTACATAATAATGGGTAGAGGCAAGAACAAGAATCAGAAGCGTTTTGCGTCGACTCAATACATACCTTTCTCCATCCCTGTTCCCCCCTTTTCCATTTCCTCCCCCTTCCCACCTTCCACAGCGTTTCTACATAGTGGGTCGGGGCAAGAACAAGGATCAGAAGCGCATCCTCAAGATTGACCGATCTGAGCCGTCGGAGCTGGTGCTGGTGGAGGATCCGACGGTGTACACCGCTCGACAGTGCTCTGCTCTGCTGCAGCAACTCGCAGAGGGCAATCGCAGCTCCGGGGGGCTTCGCTTGGTCACCAAGGCCTATGGCATCGTCGGTGAGTTGGTGAGGAGGCTTATAAGGTATGGAACTGCTGATGCGTATTGAGTCGAGTCGAATCAGTCGCAGCTCAGGGGGCTTCGCCTTGTCACCAAGGCCAATGGCATCGTTGGTGAGTCGGTGAGGAGGCTTATATGGGGTATGGAACGGCTGATGGGTGTGTGTATTGAGTCTGACTTGAAACAATCGCAGCTCCGGGGGCCTTCGCCTCGTCGCCAATGCCTATGGCATCGTTGGTGAGTCTGTGCGTCGGTGAATTGGCGAGGAGGCTTATAGAGGGTATGGGACTGCTTATGGATTGGTTCTGATGAGTTGCCTAACAATTGCAGCTGGGGGGCCTTCGCCTTGTCACCGAGGCCTATGGCATCATTGGTGAGTTGGTGAATAGGCTTTTAAGCTGTATGGGATGGGACTGCTGATGAGTCTATGTCCAATAAATGGCTTTTCAAGAACCGCGGGTACTTGCTTTGGGCGTGCGTGACTGGTGAGTGCCAATTTGTCAGTCCCTCACTCTAGTGTGGCCCCTCTGGTCTCCTCCCTTCTCCCTCGCTCCTCCAAGCACTCTTTTCTAGCTCTTAGTCACTCATTACCATGCCCACCCCACGGCCATCTTCCAGGAATTCTCAAAAGCAACCCTCTCTCTGCCTTACTCTCAGCCTTGCCTTTTCCACACTTTGCTTGCCCGTTCCTCTCTCTCCCTTACTCTCTGCCTTGCCTGTTCCTCTCTCTCCCTTACTCTCTGCCTTGCCTGTTCCTCTCTCTCCCTTACTCTCTGCCTTGCCTGTTCCTCTCTCTCCCTTATTCTCTGCCTTGCCTGTTCCTCTCTCTCCCTTACTCTCTGCCTTGCCTATTCCTCTCTCCGCCTTATTTTTGAGGCGCCTCATTTTGAAGCGCCTCAAAAATACTCTCGGCCTTGCTTGTTCCCTTCTCTGCCTTACTCTCTGCCTTGTCTGTCTTTGTTCTCCCCTCCCCCATCGGCAGGGTGTGTGCGCTTCCTAGAGCCCTGGTACCTCATTCTGGTGCGGCGCCGGCGGCAGGTGGGGTGCATGAGGGGGCATGCAGTGTTCCGCATCGAAGAGAGTCTCGTGCTCACCGTGCCCCACGCCAGCGTGCACACGAGCGTGGCTTCCAGCACCATGGAGCAGCGGTGAGCAGCGGTGGTGAGCGGTGAGGCACGGCGAGGTGCGGTGACGATTGGTGAGAAGTGGCGAGGAGCGGTGAGGGAGGGGTGCAGAGGTGTGAACGTCGCCCCCCAGCATGCGTTTTTTCGCATAAAGGAAAGACTGGTGCTCACCGTGCCGCACACCAGCGTGCACACGAGCACCACAAACAGAGCAGCGGTGAGAAACGGTGAGATGCGGTGTGGTGTGGTGAGGAGAGACGCGGCGTGGTGAGCAGTCGTGAGGACTAGTGAGGGAGGGGTGCAGAGCAGATGTGTGACCCTTACCTTAGCATGTGGTGTTCCGCATAGAGGAGAGTCTGGTGGTCTGGTGCTCACCGTGCCTCATGCGACCGTGCACACACATGTGGCCTCTGTCGAATTGAAAGGCCCTGCACTCGCTTGGGCGCAGGCATTCTCTGCAACGCCATGGTGAATTCGACGAAAGCGGCTGTCGAATGGGTTCTCAGGTTTAGTCGACCACCGCGTTCTCTGAAACGATGGGTGGTTTCCGAGGAGGCTGTCATCTAATCGGCTAGCATATCGACGAGCTCCAGTCGACTGGGTGATGTTCGACGAGCTCGCCCTCTAATCGGCTAGTGAGTCGCGCGAACTCTGACGAACGGAGTCCGTTTCGACGAGCCTCGTTCTCTGATCAAGGGGTGCTGTTCGGCGAGCCTAGTCTTGGTGAACTGGTCGAATTGACGCGACTGCGAAGCTCTGTGAAGGCATGCGAATTTCGCTTATGAGGTTTTAGCGAAAGTCGACCTGTGGAACGGCAGTACGTGCTCGACGGTGGACATCTGGCAAAATCGTCGACACGTTCTCTACGTGGCCCTTACGCAATGTGCCTGACGGTGAAACCGTCGACCTGCACCTACTTGGTAGGTGCGCACCTGTGCACAGATATTCACCCGCGAATGCAACGCTGACAGGCCGCCTTGCTGCAGCGTTGGCACGTCGCCCTTCTGCTATGCTGGCAGGCCACACTGTTTCAGCGTTGGCGAGCCGCTCTGATGCTGCGCTGGCAATTCGCTTTTCAGAATGCTTGCTAGGGGTTGCAGTGCCATTCTAGTCATATCGACTTGCTTGCCTCATTTTGTACTCTATTTTCAATGTTCTTTTCAATTTCTCAGTGGAACTCTTGCCAAATTTCTTTGTGAACACATCAAGTAGTAAGGAAACTAGTAGAACGTACGATCACCCGCACAACCCCGTGCTCTCCTCCGTAGTCCACTCTCGTTGTAGGGTGACTCACTGCAGCCTCCAGCACCATGGAGCAGCGGTCGTGATGAGCGGCGAGTTGCAGTCAGCAGGGCTGAGGAGCGGTGAGGAGCAATGGTGATTGTGCACATGAACGTGGCTGTGAGGCCGCCCCCTCCACCCTGCTTCCCTCAACGCCCCTTTTTTTTTTTTCATCAAGTACAAGAGGTTGCTGTCAGAGTGGACCTCATAAAGGTCTTTTCCACTCGCACTCCTTCCCTTGTCTCTCATCCCTCTGCCCTGCTCCAGGCGTGGATCTCACAAAGGGCGTCTTCCACTCCCCTCTCAGGCGTCCTCGCCTCTCTTTTCATCCCTCCCTCCGTCAGGTACAAGAGGCTGCTGTCAGGCGTGGACCTCACAAAAGACTTCTTCTACTCCCACTCCTACCCTCTTTTCATCTTTCACGCTCCAACCTCACCCTCACAGCACTCTCAACACTTTCAGCACTCTCAGCACACTCAACGCCCCCATGTCCCCCCCCTCACATCAGGTACAAGAGGCTGCTGTCAGGCGTAGACCTCACGAAAGGCTTCTTCTACTCCCACTCCTACCCATTTTCTCTTATTTCACTCTCATGCCTCAATCTCACCCACAGCACGCTCAATACTCTTTTCTCCTCACACCAGGTACAAGAGGCTGCTGTCAGGGGTGGACCTCACAAAGGACTTCTTCTACTCGCACTCCTACCCCGTCATGCGCTCGCTACAAGACAACGTCTGCCGTACCGTCGCCGGGTGCACCGAGTGTGGCAGCAGCTGCATGTCCCATATGGATCACATGGCCCACATGGCCCACGAGCACATGTTTGTGTGGAACGCCTTCCTCACACGCCCCATCCGCCATGCCCTCGGCACCAACCGCTGGACTCTCGCTCTCTCCCACGGCTTCTTCCACCAGGTGGGCTGCTTCTCCCTGCTTGCCCCTTGCTCCTTGCTGCTCAGTGCTCAGTGGTCATATTGGTGAAGCTAATAGCTTGTCTCTCTTCGTGCCACTTTGCGGCACTTGTCCCTCTTCGTGCCACTTGCGGCACTTGTCCCTCTTCGTGCCACTTGCGCCACTTGTCCCTTTTCGTGCCACTTGCGCCACTTGTCCCTCTTCGTGCCACTTGCGCCACTTGTCCCTCTTCGTGCCACTTGCGCCACTTGTCCCTCTTCGTGCCACGTGCGCCACTTGTCCCTCTTCGTGCCACTTTGCGGCACTTGTCCCTCTTCGTGCCACTTGCCACTTGTCCCTCTTCGTGCCACTTGCGCCACTTGTCCCTCTTCGTGCCACTTGCGCCACTTGTCCGGACCGGAACAAAGTACCTTAAGGGAGGGGTCAACGGCTTTCCGTGCCCCCCCTGGCCCCTCTCCCTCGCAGGAGCGCATGTCCATCTTCGGGCGGGTCATCTCACTTGTCTTAATCGCCCGCCGCTCGCGCCACTTTGCCGGCACGCGTTATCTCAAGAGGGGGGTGAACGACCGGGGGCGAGTGGCCAACGAGGTGGAGGTGGAGCAGCTGCTGCTCGACCACTCCCACGAACCCATCCTACCGCCTCCCACCGCTCTGCACCGTGAACCCATCCTACCTACCGCATTGCACCGTCAGCCTATGCCTGTTTCCACTCACCCATCCGTCCCCACCTCTCATCCCCAGCAACACCAATCCATTTACCATCATAGGCAGCAGCAACATGCCACGTCGCCACCCCCTTCCCCTGCCGCCTCCTCGCCTTTTCTGCTCATCCAGCCCTTCCCATCCCTCCCCTCCTCCACAACTCACCCTCCTCCTATCAGCCCCAGAGAATACCTTTCCCAGATAACACCTGTTTTCATGGATGGTTCTGCAGGCGACGCAGCAGTTACAAGTTCACCAGCAGAAGCGACGGCGGTGGCGGCAGCGGCAGCAGCAGCGGCAGCAGCAGCGGTGGCGGTGGCAGCGGTGGGGGCGGCGTCAGCAGCAGCGGTGCCAGCGATGGCGAGTGTGGTGCAGGTGAGGGGATCCATTCCCCTCTTCTGGTCGCAGCAGGCATCAAGACTCAGCCCCAAGCCAGACATCGTGTGTGAGTGGTGCTGTGCGGTGGGTGAGTGGCGCAGTGCGGTGGGTGAGTGGCGCAGTGCGGTGGGTGAGTGGTGCGGTGTAGGCGTGTCCTCATTGTATCCCACCTCACTGTTCCGATTCACTCTCTGGAACCATGTCACTGTGAGCAGTGCACTGCTACCCTCCCCCCATGTGCGCACTTGAGTAATGTTGCGCCATATGCCTCCTCACCGTGCAACCATACCTCAGTGCACTGCACTGCTATTAACTAAGTCTTTCTTCTACTCGTTTTTTTTTCTTCTTTTCTTTTTTCTCTCCTAGTTTAATCTGGTTGGTTCCATTCAGATCTAGGCACGAGCGACCTCAGTTGGTTTGCTGCGATCGAATCCGCCTCTATAACAACATCACTGCCCTGCTATATTGGTCCATGTATCCACGTGCATTTGGGAGGCCGCACTGGTTCACACACTTGCACCATGCTTGTTCCCCCCGCGCCTCCATGAGTGCAGTGCATCGCTATGACCCCATGTACACGGCAGCGCGGCTGCACTTTGAGAACCTCATGGAGCGGTACGGCCGCCCCATCATCATCCTTAACCTCATCAAGGTACAGTGCGGTGCAGTGCGGGACGCCACGGTGCCTTCTGCCCTCCTTACCTCATGGAGCGGTACGGCCGCCCCACCCCATCATCATCCTCAACCTCATCAAGGATTAGACCGAAAGCTTTGCAAGGTGTGAAGCGCTGCAGTGTGTGAAGCGCTGCAGTGTGTGAAGCGCTGCAGTGTGTGAAGCGCTGCAGGTTGTTGAGTGAGAGCAAGGACTCCACTCTACCACTGCAGCGGCTCCTCTCGAATTTGTCAAACCTGTCTTGCCACCTCATCCCTGCTCTTCTTCTTCTTCCTTACACTTCTCCTCCGTGCCTGCTCTCCCCTCTCCCATCCCCTCTCCCCTCTCCTCTCCCCTATCCCCTCTCCCCTCCTCTCCCCTCCCTGTCAGACAGCGGAGAACCATCTGAGGGAGATGATTTGAAAGCGGCAGCTTGCTACTGTGATCCCTCGCTGTCATGACATATTGCGTGCATCAACTCCAACAAAGCACCTCTCTCCCATCTCCCCTCTCCCATCTCCTGTGTTTCAATCTCCCCTTCCAGACAGTGGAGAAGCACCCTCGTGAGATGATTCTTCGGAGGGAGTTCGCGATGGCAGTGGCGTATCTCAACCGCGTGCTGCCCCGCCCCTCCGCCCTCACCTACATCCACTGGGACTTCTCCCGCTACGCCAAGAGGTGAGCGGTCTTGTGTGCATGCTAAGGGGTGAACAGTCTTGTGCACATGCCATGTCACGTTATCCCGACATCCCGACATGTTATGTCATGTCACCTACACTCGCTGGGAATTCTCCCGATACACCAAGAGGTGAGTGGTCTTGTGCACATGCCAACAGGTGACCCTTTTCGCTGTGTGCATGAGTGAGAAAACTCATCTGGAGAAGAGGTGAGTCTTCTCCCTTTATGCCAAGAGGTGAACAGTGTTACCCACAACAGTCCAAGAGGTGAACAGTGTAACCCACAACAGTCTAAGAGGTGAACAGTGTTACCCACAACATTCCAAGAGGTGAACAATGTTACCCACAACATGCCAAGAGGTGAACAGTGTCACCCACAACATTCCAAGAGGTGAACAGTGTAACCCACAACATGCCAAGAGGTGAACAGTGTCACCCACAACATTCCAAGAGGTGAACAGTCCTGTGCATACAGCATGGCAGTGGCGTATATGTCAACTGCGTGTTGCCTCCCCACTCCGCCCTCATCTTCATCCACTGGAACTTCTCTCTCTATGCCAAGAGGTGAACACAAACGCGCATTAAAACCGGCGGGCCAGGAAGTTCAACGTTAGGAAGGTTGGTTGGTTGGGACGAGAAATGCAATTGACCAACATTTTGGGTGCCAGAGTCACATCACACTCAGAGTCACATCACACTCAGAGTCACATCACACTCAGAGTCACATCACAGTCAACCGAAGTTCGGAAGGTTGAACCAATTTGGGCTTTCTTGGTCTGCGGGTTTTAATATCTGAAAGAAATGTGGGACTTGTCTCTCTATGCCAAGAGGTGAACAGTCGTGCGCATATCGCACGGCAGTCGCGTATGTGTCAACCGCGTGCTGTCCACAACTCTTCCCTCACCTAGATCCACTGGACTTCTCCAGGTACGGCAAGACGTGAACAGTGTGGTGTACATGCGTCTCCCACACATCAGTGCGGATGCAAGTATCACTACAGCTGGGGTCACCAGTGCTGCAGCACATATTAACCCAGTTCTTATTGATGCAGAACTTGTTTTTCTCGCCCCCTCCCCCCATAGTTTCCCACACATCAGAGCAAACGCAGCCACCACTCTAGCAGGGGTCGCTAGCGCCGCAGCGAGACGGTAACCCAGTTCACCAGTAATGCTGTACCCATTTTGATCTTGACCTCTGATATGTCCCCTCGTTCCCCCTCACTTCACATACATCAGTGCAAACGCGGCCACCACTCCAGCAGGGGTAACCAGTGCTGCAACGCGACAAGCACCTGCGTTTCAGCAATAAAGTACAAGTTTCGACCTTAATATGGCCCCTTGTTTCCCCTCGCCGCCCATACACTCCTCTTTCCCCTTCTGCTGCAGTGCAAACGCAGGCACCACTCCAGCAGGGGTCACCAGTGCTGCAGCAAGCGCACTCAGCACTCTCACCACCACTCCCAACGTACCCACCATTCCCAACACACCCACCACACTCCACACCCTTACCAGTCATCCCAGTCCCTTCTCCTCCTTCCCCTCCTCCTCCCTCATCCCCTCCTCCTCCTCCCTCATCCCCCCGTCCTCCCCTTCTGCTTCCTCCTTCTCGCTCTCACCTCCTTCGCTCTCTCCTCGCACCACCAACACCAGCGGCACCAACGTCCAAGCAAGCAGTGGCAGCGGCAATAGCACCAGCGCCAGTGCGGAAAATGGCAGCAGCAGTGGGAGCAAGGGCAGTGTGGCGGAGGGGGTGTTGGGTGCGCTGGCAGCGATCGCTAGAGAGTGCCTTGCCAAGACTGGCTTCTTTTACTCCGGCCAGCTCGCCAGGTGCGCCCTCTGTTGTTTTCACCTGAAAAAATTCACCTTGTTTTCCCAGCACAGAACGGAGCTGGACTGGAAATCTCTACTTGTGAGCAGCAGATGATCATTTCCTTTGCTGCAACTTGCAAGTGTCACATGCAAACTTGAGATTCAATCCTGTTGATTTCTCCTCTCCTCCAACCTCTACAGCTCGTTGACTTCCTCTTCCCCCCTCTTCTGGCCCGCACCACAGTTGGTCACAGAGCATGCTTTGCTTCTCACCTGCATGCCCTTTGTTTCCTCCTCTCCTCTGTTCCCCATCTCTTCCATGCCCCCTGTCCTCTGTTCCTCATCCCATGTGCCCCCATCTCCTCTATGCCCGATCACCTGCCTTGTCTCCACATCGCCAGGGCTGCCACCAAGACTTGCTTCTCTTTCCGCCCCACCGCCCCTCCCTCTGTCCCATTTCCTCCCATTTCCTCCCATTTCCTCCCATTTCCTCTCCTCTGCCTCCCATCTCCTCTGCGCCTCCCCCTCCCCTGTCTCCCCAATGCATGCAATCTCCCCAGGGCTGCCACCAAGACGTGCTTCTCGTCCCGCCCCGCCGCCCCTCCCGCTGCTGCCGCCGCTGCTGCTGTACCCAGCACAACCAGACCGGAGGAGGGGGGCGGAATCAGACCAAGCAGCAAGGGAGGAGCAGCTGCAGCAGCAGCAGCAGCGCAGGAGGAGGAGGCAGGGAGATGGGTGCGTCCCCCACAGCTGCAGCAAGGAATAGTCCGAACCAACTGTCTGGACTGCCTGGACCGCACCAACGTGGCCCAGTTCGTGTTCGGTCGAGAGGCCCTTGCCCACCAGCTCTACTCCTTGGGAATCACAGATTCGCCGCACCTGGACAGCAAGAGCGACGTGGGGAGGCGGCTGCAGGGGATGTACATCGCGATGGGGGACGCCCTGGCACTGCAGTATGGGGGGTCGGCGGCGCACAACCTGGTGATTGCTGAGCGGCCCGGCACGTGGCGGTCTACGCTGCAGTCTCAGGAGGTGCTCAAGTCGCTGCATCGGTACTACAGCAATGCCATCACAGACGCTGAGAAGCAAGACGCTATCAACCTGTGAGTTGTGTAGTCATTGGTTTAGTTGAATCTTGGCACAGCACTCTCATCTTATGCTGCTCTTTCCCCTCCACTTTCTCTGTCTCTTCTTACGAGCTGCCAGCTTTCTGGGTCACTTCCAGCCTTGGGCAGGGCAGGCAGCCATGTGGGAAGTGGGGTCGGACCAGCACCTGCATGGCGCCACAGGGAGGGGCGCTCAGGCGGGGGAGGTGGGGGCGGAACAGGGGCAGCTGGGGTTGAGTGGAGGGAGGGGAGTGGAGGGGGGTGGAATGATGGGAGCAGCAGCCATGCCGTCTGCTTCCTTCTCGCCCAGCCTCGCATCGCTCCCCGATGTGTCCGATGCCCCACCTCCTCCCATGGACCTCGCACTCCTCCCCTCCCACGTGTGAGTGACGTGTTCCCTGTGGCAGGCTGGCTGCCCACCCAATGTGCTTCCCTCTCGTCCAGCCTTGCATCCCTCCCTGATGTGTCCGACGCCCCCCGCATGGACCTGTCGCTCCTTCCCCCCCAATGTGTGACTTCCGTTCCATCTGCCCATGTTTTTTCTATCACCTCATACAAACTTGCTCCCTCACCCCTCCCATGCCTCATCTGTCAGATGCCCCCCCCCATCCCATGGACCTCTCTCTTGTCCGCCACCACGAGTGATTTACTTGTTCCCTTAACTATTGAGTTGACTAAAAATCCCCCCGTAATTTCCAAATGCACCTCACCCTTATCTTGCCCCTCACCCCTCCCATGCCCCCCCCCCGAACTCAGCCCCTCGCACTTCCCTTCCTCCCTCCTAATAAGACGTCTCAAAAGTCCTCCTCCCTCCCCCCACACTCGAACCCCACTGCTTACAGGCGATTTTTGTGTCACCTAAAAGATCGTCCCCTCTTGCTCCCTCCCTCCCTCCCTCTTCTTCCTCCCTCTTCCCCTGTGCAGACCCCTGTGGCTGCCCTCCTCTCCTCCCCCTCCCTCTCCCTCTCCTCCTGCTCTCCTCCTCCCGCCCCTCTCCCCCTCCCACCCCACTCAAGCTTACCTCCTTTGGTGGCGCTTCAAAATTTGACCGACTGCTTGAAGCAGGGGGGGGAACAGCTGTGTGCGAGTACCCTCTGGTTATAAACGATTTTTTATGCGATCTCTTAGGCGTCTAACTTGTTTTCTCCCTTTTCTTCCTCCCTTCCTTCCACTCAGACCCCTGTGGCTGCCCTCCCCTCCTCCACCGCCCTCTCCCCCTCCTCCCGCTTCTCACGCTCCCTCCTCCCGCCCCTCTCCCCCACCTGCCTCGCTCAAGCTCACCTCCTTTGACCGCCTGCTGGGGGCAGGCGCTGCAGCAGCAGGGGGGGGTACAGCCGTGCGAGTCTACCCTGAAAACAGCAGGGGGAGTGGCAGTCAGGGTGGTGGTTTGAGGAAGGAGGGCGGCGACAGGGGTGTGCAGGATTGGAGAGGTGTGAGGGGAGGTGGAGAGGTGCGTGGTGGTGGGAAGGGATTGGGGAGGGGAAGAGGTGCGGAGGTGGTTGATCCGAGGGAATGGGCTGGGGAGTTGAAGGAGTGTGGGTATGTGTTTCTGCACGAGATCACGCCAGATACTCCACACAGTGCTGCCGTTGCTGCTGCTGCGGGTTCTACTGGTCCAGCTGCTTTTGGTGCTGGTAGCAGCAGTGTGGGATTAGTGAGGGCTGTGTATCCGGCATTGCGGAGAGATGGAGGGGAGGCGAGTGCGTTGCACCTGGCGCATGCATGCATGGACGGCTCTTCATGGCACTTCTACCAGAGGTGACGCCCCCTTGCCATGCCACACCATGCCATGCCACACCATGCCATGCCACACCATGCCATGCCACACCATGCCATGCCACACCATGCCATGCCACACCATGCCATGCCACACCAAGCTATGCCACACCATGCCATGCCACACCATGCCATGCCACACCATGCCATGCCACACCAAGCTATGCCACACCATGCCATGCCACACCATGCCATGCCACACCATGCCATGCCACACCATGCCATGCCACTCCATGCATTGCCAATCCATCCCATGCCATCTACAGCCATGACCTATGGCCAGGCCATGTCCTGGATACACCCTCATCAACCTTCCTGCAACCCTCATCAACTTCTCTTCACCCCTCAACACCTCTCCCCCACGCCGTTTTTGCTCTCCCTTCTCTCAACCCCCGGCACCCACCAGCTTCCTCGCATCCATTTCATCCTCGGCAACACGAGGAGCGAGGGGCGAGGTATCCTGGGGGCAGTGAGGGGTGGACACGACGTGACTGTTAAGTCGCCTCTGAGAGCTCTCCCATTCTTCAACCCTCAAGTCTCTCCTCTCTTTCACCCCCGTGTACTCACCAGCTACCTCGCATCCGTGCCCTCCCTCATCCCCGGCAACACCTTGGCTTCTGTGGGGGGTGACGGTGCACACACACACGAGCAGTCGGGCATGCAGGGAGCATGGCCTTTAGAGCTGCAGGTGAGTCAGTGCGTCCCGTGCAGGACGGGAGGTGGTAATAAGTCTAGTCGGTTGTGATGGTTGTGACGCGTCTCAGAACACGGGTAGTATTCGGTGGCTTGGCCTCTGGAGCTGCGGATGAGTCACTCTAGCCCCGCTGTGCGGGAGGGGAGGTGGAAACGAGTCTGTTTTGGTGTGTCTCAAAACAGCCTTAGTGGTGTCTGGAGCTTGGCCTTTGGAGTGGTGGTTCTTCACACTCAGCCGCTTTACAGGTCTCAAGTTTCAGTGCAAGTTTCACTGTTCATTCCCTCTCCCTTATTCCACTCCTGCGAGTTACATCTGAGAAGCTCTTCTTTGCCTTCTAGTCAATTCATGCCGCTCCCCATCTTTTTCCCGCCCCCCCTCCCTGCTTCCTGTTGCCACTGCAGGGCTTTGGTGCCCTTAACAGCCCTGGAGCGACAAGAGGAGGGGGGGAGGGGCCAAGGCTGGATGAGATGCTGGGAGGGTGGGCCGTGGCAGAGGCAGCAGTGGAAGACGCAAGGAGGGCGGAGGAAGCACAGGAGGTGGTGAGAAAAGAAGCGGAGCTTTTGGGTGGTGACTATGGTGTGAGTGTGCCCCATGTGCTGCCTACGGTGGTATGTGCCGGGCTCATGGATGGGTGGCTGGCACAGGGCCAAGCCGATATGAGAGCACCGTTCCAGCCGTTGCCTTATTGAGTTGAGCTGTTATTAGGTATGCCATGCCACATTATGGAGTGTACCTTGTACAGTGACTTGCATGTGTTGCTTGCAACAGTTTGTACTGGGCTCATGGATGGGTGGTAGACACAGAGTCAGGCCGACATGAGAGCACCTTTCCAGCCATGATTGCCTTTATTGATTTGTTGTACCGCCACGCCTTAAATGTGGCTTGTACAGTATGCTATGCATGTACAAAGCCTTATACGGTTATGTGATCCGAGTTGTATAGTTTGTTTACCAGTAAAATCCATGTGAACGCGGGCAACGTCGCAAATGGCCCCACCCACTTGCACTTGCCGGGTGCCGCCACGCTCGCCACTTGAGAAATTTGGCGAGCATAACAACTCAACACTGCCTCTCCCCACACACACCAGCGTGCGTGCATCACCCATCCATCCACAACTGCAGCTCCAGCACTGACACCTTGCTCTCCCTGCTTGGGCCACGTCGACTCTGTACTGCTGCACCCACTGCCCCTCCTCATATTAAAGAGATGCACTAACCCGTCAGCATCTTTGCATCACCCATCCACCCACAGCTGCAGCTCCTTCAGAGTTGACACCTTGCTCTCCATGCAAACGCCAAACCTGTTGTCAAACGCCACTAGCTCGCCCCTATGCGCTGCTGCACGCACTGCCTCTCCTCATACGGTATAGATGCGGGTAGACAACAATGCTAACCCGCCAGCACACTTGCACCACCCTTCCACCCATAACTGCAGCTCCTTAAGCGGCGGTCGATACCCTGCTCCCCCTGCTGGCGCCACGGCTGTTGTTAGCTCGACTCTGTGCTGCTGCTTCTCCCACTGCCTCTCCTCACAGTAAAGACACATGCTAACTCGTCAGCACACGTGCATCAACCATCCACCCACAGCTGCAGCTCCTTCAGCACTGACGCCTTGCTCTCCCTGCTCGCCCCACAGCTGTTGTGAAACGCAACCACCTCCCCCCTATGCTGCTGCACCCACTGCCTCTCCTCACACACCACCGCACTTGGTGGAAACAAAAACGCAGGCAAAACCCCGATCGCGATTCCTTCACCACCTGCCCCATCACCTGCCCCTTCACCTGCCCCTTCACCTTCCAGTACACGTGCTACAGCATGGTTAAGAGCACTTTGCACAACAACAGACAACGTGAGGGGTGTGCTCTCACCGTTCCCCTCCGCCTTGTCTGAAAGAGATGGCTCTTTGGACAGAGTCTTGAATGCTTGTAACCCCCAGGAGAGGGCGAGGGAGTGCGTGGAGGGGGAGGAAGTAGAGGGGGGGGGTTGAGCGGAGGAGGAAGGAGAGGAGGAGCGGAGCAGCAACAGCCAGGGAGAGAGAGAGCCAAGGTGGGATCGGTTGAGAGGAGTGGGAGTGGTGGTGTTGAGAGTGGGGGGTGTGGAGGAGTGGGAGGTGGAGGGGAGGAGGACGGAGAAAGTGGCTGGGAGGAAAGGCAGGGGGTTGCGAAGCCATGCAGTTGAGGGGTCACTGATGTGGGCGGTGGTGGGAAGTGAGAGATTTCAATGGGTCAAAAGAGAGAGGGGAAGGGTGAAGTGGGAAAAAAAAAATGTAAATACCAAAATGTTGTTGCTGTTTTTATTTTCTTTTATATTCTTCCTTTTTTGGGTGGAAATAATGAAGGATGAGCAGAACGCAAGTGGAACGTAAAGAGCAAGAGACGGTGATCAAGAAGAGACTCGAAGAAGTGGTATTCGCTGTCACGTGGAATTCACTTGAGCGGAAGGGTTTTTCGAGTTTTACTGATTGTTTTTCCAGGAAGAAATTTTAGTTTCGATCCATTTGTTGCTTTAAGCGTTTTCCAATCTTAAGAATTACTGCTCTTCCACTATGAGCAAAGACCCGATGGTCAAGAAGAGACTCAAGGAAAAGTCTCGTATTCGCCCGATGGTATCCGCTGTCACGTGGACCGTTGCAGGCTGAAGCAGCCAATGCGGTTGCCAAAGGACTGGTTAGAAACATGCATGATAACTGAAGCTTTGGCTGTGCCAATGAAGAGCGCAGGGGAGACGGGCACACTCACTTAGCCTGCACATCCACCTTCACCGCACCACACCTGCCTCAACTGCACCACACCCACCTGAACAGCACCGTGATGTTGACAGCGAGGAGGTGCGAGGCCAGCAGCGCCGGCATGAGTAATTGCGTTGGAAAATACGCCCTTGGGGCAGCCCATTAAAAAAAATAAAAAAAAAAAAAAAATAAAAAAAAAAAAGCAAGAATCTGCGACGGCGAGAATTGAACCCTCGACCTCGCACAGCACCCAACCCCTGTCTGCAATTCTAAATTCAAAATCCAACCCCTCCCACATCCCCAACCTCACGTCACCCCTCTCAACCTCCTAAACCCAACCTCCCCCCTTTCACTCGTTCGAACATCTCCTCAATCCCTATACAGCTCGTCTTTCATTCAATCCCGCATGTCTGTTCTTGCATTTCGTCCAACTCTTGTCGAGCTCGAACTCTCCTAGCTTTAGTACTTCCTCGCCATGGCGACCCCTACTCCCTACATTTCGAGGGTGGAACCTGCCCGGGAAAAAGTTTTACCTGCCCAACCAGAGTATTTTTGCGTATCAGCAGTACGCCAGCCATGGCGTACCGCGTATATACGAAGCGTATAATACGCTAGCGTATAGTACTCGATACTCGTATTTCCCAACGTAGGACATGCTAGCCTGTCCCTCCCCTCTGCCTTCTCCCCTGCTTTCTCCTTGCTCCCAGTGCTCCCAGTAGAAGCAGGCGGCACCACACCCACCCTCCACCGCACCACACCCACCTGAACAGCACCGTGATGTTGGCAGCGAGGAGGCGCGAGGCCAGCAGCGCCGGCATGAGCAGACACGCTAGCCTGTCCCTCTCCTCTGCCTTCTCCCCTGCCTTCTCCTCACTCCCACTGCCGCCAGTAGGAGCAGCAGAGGCAGGCTGGCGAATGACATGGCTGGCAGGGACGTTAGCAGGTAATGGCACCTGAAGGACAGGTGCAGGGGGGTGGGGCGAGCAGGGAATGCTGTAACATTTCTATACAGCATACATAGGCTGGAACAGGAGGTGTAGTTGCTACCTATCTTAACGGGTTGTTGAGAGGGGGACAGCTGGGAGGGATGCAGGGAGGCGTCAATTGATGCAGGGAGGGGGCAGTGAGGCAAGGCAGGTTAAGGATGGTGCAGGGAGGGACCAGAAACGATGCTTCTTTATGGGTCACACAGTGGGAGGGTAGGGGGGAGAAAGCGCATGAGGTGTGCAATGGGGAACGGACAGTAGCGTGGGTGGAAGAGCAGATATACAGGGGTCAATTCTGAGAATTCTCAATCATGAAGTGCGCATGGCACAAAAAAAAACAAGGAAGAAGGAAGGGGAGTCCAGGTTCTTGAGCATGCCTGGGTATGGTGAGGGATTGAGGCATGGCTATGAGGGTTTGATCAGGATCACACCTGACTGGCAAGAGAAGCACACCTGGCTGGCAACAGAAGCACACCTGGCTGGCTGGCAACAGAAGCACACCTGGCTGGCAACAGAAGCACACCTGGCTGGCAACAGAAGCACACCTGGCTGGCAACAGAAGCACACCTGGCTGGCAACAGAAGCTCACCTGGCTGGCAACAGAAGCACACCTGGCTGGCAACAGAAGCTCACCTGGCTGGCAACAGAAGCACACATGGCTGGCAACAGAAGCTCACCTGGCTGGCAACAGAAGCACACCTGGCTGGCAACAGAAGCTCACCTGGCTGGCAACAGAAGCACACCTGGCTGGCAACAGAAGCTCACCTGGCTGGCAACAGAGGCAAGGAAGTTGGTTGAGAGGCCGAGCTTTGAAATGGCCCCCAGCCAGCTCCTGAACAGATCCGACTCGCTTGCTGTGCCCATGCCATGCCACGCCACGCCATGCCATGCCACGTCATGCCACAAGGAGCAATCGAATCGCAGGCATGTGTCGTCATGGGAAGGAAAGAGGTAAGAAGAAAAGGAAAAGGTGATGACATGAGATGAGAGTGATGTTGTGAGGCAGCTTGGGGCAGCATGAGCCTACACGTGTGTTTTTTGAAATTCCCAAAAAAAACAAAAAACAAAAAAAGGTGAAATCTGATGCACGCAGATGCAGGCAGCTCGGAAGTTGGGAGCAACCATGGAGCATGGAGCATGGAGCATGGAGCATGGAGCTTGGAGCATGGAGCATGGAGCATGGAGCATGGAGCATGGAGCATGGAGCATGGAGCATGGAGCATGGAGCATGGAGCTTGGAGCATGGAGCTTGGAGCATGGAGCATGGAGCTTGGAGCATGGAGCATGGAGCTTGGAGCATGGAGCATGGAGCATGGAGCATGGAGCATGGAGCATGGAGCATGGAGCATGGAGCATGGAGCATGGAGCATGGAGCTTGGAGCATGGAGCTTGGAGCATGGAGCATGGAGCTTGGAGCTACGTGTTGTGCCACCCACAGGTCGCTACAATACAATTACCACAGCGAGTTTGCATGCCACATCTACATGTGTGCTGTGCTTTCAGCCGCCTCATGCACTTCAAATGTTGGACGACCCACCCACCCACCCCCCCATCCAACCACCCACCCACTCATTATGGCCATACCATGACAGAGCACGGTGAGAATGAGCGGCCCATCCCGGGCCACACCAGGCGCCACCCTCAAAACCGCATCCACATGTGACGGCACCCACTCCGCCACTCCCATCAACCTCCTCTCCATCTCCTCCTCCCCTTCCTCGCCTCTCTGCCCCTCCTCCTTGCCTTCCCCACCAGCAGCAGCAGGAGCAGCAGCAGCAGCAGCAGCAGCAGCAGCAGCAGCAGCATCGTCACCATCAGCACCACCACCGCCGCTGCCACCACTGCTCCCCTCTCCCTTGCCCTCCTCCTCTCCCTCTGGTGCCGGCGGTGGCAGCAGCCACACGCCAGCCTCAATCAACCGCTCGATCTTCTTCCGCTTCCCCACCACATAATTTGCATGCACCATCACCACCCCCGGCTTCAACCCCAGAAACCCCATCATATCATTCGCCATCAATTCGCCCGATGGAAATTTCTTCCCGGGCAGCACGCCAATATTCGCCTCAATCTTCCGCTCTCTCATGATCTTCATCACATCGAGTAAATGGTCCTGGTCTAGTCCGATCTCATGCCCTCTCGCCACCATGCTGAAAGCCCACATGGCTGCGAGGGCCTTGGCTCCCGCTGAGGGGCGAAAGAAGAGGAAGCAGGAGCACATGACCATTGGGAGTCCCGGCTCGGCCAGACTGACCGTGTGATCTGGGCCGTTCGTCCACGCTTGATCTGCGGTGATGAACACGTCGAATTCTTTCGGCGGGGCAGCGGCAGGAGGGGAGCCGGACTCCGGTGAAGGGGTGGCAGAGGAGGGAGAGGAGGAGAGGGGAGCGAAGTACGGGAGGGGGTTTTGCAGGAGAGCGATGTCGATATCGGAGTAGAGGACGGAGAAGCCAAAGGCGAGGAGGTGCAGGATGTACACGGCCCGGCGGGACGCCACGCGGTGGAAGCCCGCCGAGTTGATTCCGATGGCCTTTGACACGTCCACATTCTCGTCCTCATGCACGAACTGACCCTCCAAGTCCAGCAGAAGCGCCTGCGGAGAGCGGGGGAGGGGGCAAGGCGGGACGCCACGCGGTGGAAGCCTGCTGAGTTGATCCCTATTGCTCTTGAGACATCCACTCCCTCGTCTTCGTGCACAAACTGACCCTCCAAGTCCAGCAGAAGGGCCTGCGGAGAGCGGGGGAGGGGGCAAGGCCACACCTGCCCCATGCACGCCACACACTCCCCACCTGCCCCATGCACGCCACACACTCCCCACCCGCCCCATGCACGCCTCACACTCCCCACCCGCCCCATGCACGCCTCACACTCCCCACCCGCCCCATGCACGCCTCACACTCCCCACCCGCCCCATGCACGCCTCACACTCCCCACCCGCCCCATGCACGCCTCACACTCCCCACCTGCCCCGGCCACTTGTGGTTGGCATAGTCGAAGCTCTGCCTCTCCGCAGCAAAGATGATGTAGTGCCCTCGCAGCCCCACCTTGTCCGCGTGCAGCGCCCAGTTCTCCAGCATCTCCTCGTAGCCTGGTTGTTGTGGGGAGGGGGGGAAGGGTTGGGAGAGGGGAGGAGATGCAGTAGGAAGGGTCAGAGGCGGGTCAGTGTTTGGCTTGGAAGTGGCGGGTCAGTGTTTGGCTTGGAAGTGGAGCGCAGCCCTGCCTTGCCTTGTTGCCATGCAGCGCCCACTTCTCCAGCATCTCCCTGTGGCCTGCCGAGAAGAACCGGGTAAGGGGGAGGGGGTGGGATGGGATAGGGGGTTCAGAGAGGCGGTTCAGTCATGCTCTGCCTCGGAAAGCACAGCTCTGCCTTGTAGGCAAGCAGCGCCCAGCTCTCTAGCATCTCCTCGTAGCCTGGTCGGTGGGGGAAGGGGCGGGGAGAGGGGGGGGTGGGAGGGGAAGATGGGGGAAGAGAGCGCAGGTCCACCTGTTGGCATGCAGCGCCCAGTTCTCTAGCATCTCGTCGTAGCCTGCTTGGCAGAGGGGAGCGGGGAGTGGGGGGTAGAGGGGGAACGATGGGGAAAGATGATGTGGGGCCCGGCCCTCGCAGCGTTGACTTTTGAGTCGACTCAAAAGGGAAAGATGCTGTCGGGCCCCGCCCTCGCAGCGCTACGTCTTCCAGCATCTCCTCGTAGCCTACTTGTTGAGAAGGGGTAATGGGAGACGTGGCGAATGGGGGGGTGAGGGGGGGTTCTCTAGCAGCGTAGTCCTGCGCTGTCGGCATGCCATACAATACGATACGATACGATGCGATGAGATGCGATGCGATGCGATGCGATGCGATACGATACAATACGATGCGATGAGATGCGATGCGATGCGATACGTAGCGTGCATACGACGCGAATCGCCCTTCCTGACTCGCCTGCATTGGCGGACACGATGACGACAGTCCCGTTGACCGCCACGCGGCTCGCCATGTCCCACAGCGGTGCCAGCCTCGCGTGCATGTCACCACCGCCCTCCCCCAGTCGCCGCCTCCCTCCAACCGCCCACTCGCAATCTCCCAGCACTTGTCTTGCCCCGCGCGGCGCCTTCTGCAAAAACTTTTTGAATGAATCTCTTCCGGGAATGCGACTTGGCAAACTGCGGCGCTTTTCGGACTTTCCGTCATCCAGGCGCAGCGCGGCAACGGGCGGCAGCGGTGGGAGCAGCCGCAGCAGGGCGATTTCTGACGTGGCGGAGAAAGATAGGCCATCGCTACGCGGCGTGTGATGGAAGGGTTCGAGGGGCAGGCGAGCGAGGGGCGAGATGGGGCTGAGCAGGAAGACGAGAAAGGCGGCGAGGAGCAGCACGGGAATAAGCGAGAGACGGAGAGTCGACTCCGAAATCACTTTCGAATTCGTCGAATAAGATACTACTGGGCGGCGGTGGGTGCAAAAAGGTGATGACGGGGATGAGGAGGACGTCGACGACGACTCCAGGGAGGCTCCCATGCTCGCTCGCTACCTTGGCGACGCGACGCGACGATCTCAGATCGTCCAGGCTCGCTACCGTGGCTCCAGCTTAGTGCATCAGTGCGCCGCGACGCGAACTAGTGAGAGTTGTTTGAATTGGCCAGAAGCCCCGATGACTGTCGTCAGCGTCGGGGGGCTTCGGGAAGGCAAAACTGACGTTTGAGGGGTATTTGACGGTAAAGGTAAGGTAAAGGTAAAGGTTATGGGGAAACCCCCTTGGTATTACCCCCGCTGTCGGTCTTAACCCGCCTACCCATTTGTTTACACGCCTCGCTGGGTAACGAGGTTGGGATGATATACCTCAGCGGACGAAAAACGCCGCCCAATTCCGCGGTTCAGAAGGGACAAGGGCCCCCCTCGGGATTGACGAGCTCGCGACGACCTCCGAGCTCCAAGCTGGGCCCAAATGGCGTCCCAGGGGCCTTGGGAGCCCTGGCTGTGGCATAGATCTCAGCCTCACAAATGGAGCTGAGAACTGAAGACGAGCGTGTAGAACGCCAAGACACAGAGCCAGAGCCAAGGCTGAAGGTGTAATCCTGTGACGACCGCTGCGTAGCCTGGTTGTCAACCCAAGAAACGTCTAAGTGCCTAGTGAACACAACTAGGCTCCGCCCTACAAGCACGAGCCCCATGCCCGATGTACTGCACAGGTAGTGTAGTACCCTCTTAGCAGCATCCATGTGCACCTTTCGGTGCCGACCGGGAGCCACGTAGCGAGCCAGAAGGCCAAGAGGGTACGCAAGGTCAGGACGAGTGCATGTCATCAGGTACATGAGGCAGCCCACTAGCTCGGGGTAAGGACCACTCGGCTCTACGGACTCGTCCGAAGGTGGAGCTGAGAGCGAGTGACCTGTAGCCAAAGGAGTGTGCTGCGGCGAGGACCAGGTGAAGCCGAAGCGCTGAAGGACCTGCTGCACCATGTGTGACTGAGTCAGTGTGATGGTGCAGCGTGCTCTGTCCCGGGTGATCTGCAAGCCAAGATAGCTGCGCAGCTCACCCAGGTCTGTGCACATGTGTCTCTTCTGCAGCTCCGACTTCACCAGGGCAAGAGCCTCAGTGTCAGCAGTGGCAAAGACCAAGTCGTCGACGTACACGGGGATGTAGAACGGCGACAGCGAAGTGTTGGTGCGCAGAAACAGCGACGGGTCGGCAGTCGACGGAGCAAACCCAAGAGCAGCAAGTGTCGTCCTCAGTGTGTCGTGCCACTCACGTGGCGCCTAGCGGAGACCCTAGATTGGCCGCCAAAGGCTCCACAGGGTACCAGGAGGGAACGACCCAGTGAAGCCTGGAGGGCGGCCCAGCCAGATCTCCCTGCAAGAAAATTGTGCTGAAGCCAAGAGAGTGAAGCTCGTAGTCACGCTGAGAGGCAACATGCAGCAGCACCCGAAGAGTGGTCATCTTTGAGGTGGGGGAGAAGGTCTAGAAGAAGTCGACTCCCTCCCGCTGACTGAAGCTTCGAGCAACGTAACGAGCCTTGAAGACAGGCGGAGAACTTGGCGGCCGCTTCACCCTGAAAATCCACGTGCCACTGACGATGTTCGCCCTAGGGGGGGGAACCTCGTCGACGTAAGTGTCTGTGGACTTCCAGGATGCCATCTTTGCGTCCATGGCTGTCTGCCACTGAAAGGAGTACGCACCCGCGATCGCCTCAGCGTAAGAGCGCGGGGTCGGGATGTCTGGAGCATCCGGGTCTCCCTCAGGGGCAAGTAGCATGGACACGAGATGAGGCGCAGCGGCTTCAAGACACTCAAGGTCCTCCTGCTTGTCCTCAAGGATGTCCGTGCCAAGAGCACACTCACCCCCGACGGACGGAGGACAGACAGACTCAGACTCAGTAACAAGACTAGCGGCGTAGTCTAGACGACAGGCAACAACAAAGTCAACAAGCTCAGCGACTAAGGCAGACGCAACAGTAGACTCAAACGACGGGTCAGTGACAGTTGTGGCTAGTAGACGCGTGACAGTAGGGTGAGCAACACGGGTGCGGTCAGACTCAGGCTCAGGAACGGTAGGCAGAGAGGACGTAGGAGGGGACGGCAGGGGAACACGCTGCGGAGGAGAGGAAGGACAACGGACTACGAGGTGGGTGCCGGGGACAGCCGGCTGACGCGAACGAGGAACACGACGACCGGAACGACTAGAACGGACAGGCGAGACAGGACGCGTCGCAGGCTCACAACGCTCAGTAAGACCCCCTATCTGCTCAGTATAAGGAGAAGGGCTAGGCACCGATGAGCCAGGCTGTAATGGAAGACCAGTAGACGAACGGAGACTAAGAACCTGGCAAAGCACAGAGTCAGACGGTGGCTGAGACGACGGAGACGGTGGAGCAAAGAACAGGCACGGCTGTGCAGTGTCACCAGCACCAGCAGCTCCAGCACCCCCAGCAGCTCCAGCATCTCCGGCAGCTCCAGAACCCTCAGCGCCAGCTCCTCCAGGACCAGCTCCACCAGCAGCAGCACCCCCAGAGACGGCACCTCCAGTCCCAGGGTCTCCAGCCTCAGTGTCTTCAGCAGCAGCACCCCCAGACCCAGGGTCTCCAGCAGTAGCACCCTCAGGCTCAGCACCTCCAGCCCCAGCAGCTCCAGTACCTCCAGTATGAGCACCTCCGGGACCAGCACCACTCCCAGCTCCAGTGACGTCAGCAGAAATACCTCCAGCGGCAGAGCCCCGAGCTCTAGAAGCGCGACCCTGACGGTGACCGTACCAGTCGTGCAGCTGCTGTGAGGTGAGAGGCATACGCGGACGAAGGCGGCTACTCTAAGGAGACCGAGCAACACCAGACTCAGAACCCTCAGCGCCAGCATCCGCAGCAACTCCAGAACCTCCAGCAGAAACAACTTCAGTAGCAGAGTCACCAGCTCCAGCACCTCCCGTAGCAGGGCCCCTAGCTCCAGCAGCGCGACCCTGGCAGCCAACGTACCACTCACGCAGCTGCTGCGGGGAGAGAGGGAGTCGACGACGAGAGTGCAGTGGCGAGGCACCAACGGAGCGACCACAGAGACGGCCGCTCCAGGGAGACCGCTCACCAGACGCCTCAGCGCCCCCAGGTGCAGCACCCCCAGACTCAGTACCCCCAGGCTCAGCACCCCCAGACTCCTCATGCCCAGGCTCAGCACCTCCAGTCTCCGCACCCCCAGGCTCCGCACCTCCAGGCTCAGCACCCCCAGGCTCAGCACCCCCAGGCTCCGCACCCCCAGGCTCAGCACCCCCAGAAGCAGCACCCCGAGCAGTACCACCCTCAGCAGGACCTGAGTCACCAGTGACCTCAACCGGCGCAGTCAAGGGAGGAGGGTCTACCTGAGACACACCTGAAGGAGCAGGACCGGGAGCAGGGAGGGGGTCTACCTGGGGAGCACTTGGAGCGAGGAAGAGCGGCGGGGGGGGGGAGAGGGGCAGTGCGGTAGGGGAAGAGACAGTAAAAGGGAACCGACTCGTCGAACGTGACGTCATGAGAGGGGAAGACACGGCGCGAGGTGGGGTGGTAAAACTGCCAACCACGCGCATCAGGGACAAAGCCGAGGAAGACACAAAGAACAGCGCGGGCGGAGATCTTGTCCCAGGTGGTATCGCGGATAAAGGCACAAGCACCCCATATCCGGAAACGCGACGCATCGCCAACCTTCCCCTTCCACAGCAGTGTGTTCGAGGTCTCCGGCAAGGAGACACGGGGCCAGATGTTGAGCTGATGTGCAACGTACCGGACCGCAAACAGCCACAGAAAATGGGTGGCAGCCGCATGGATCATGGAGGTACGAGCGACCTCCATGACTAAGCCAATGCGGCGTTCAGAAACCCCATTCTGCTGCGGAGAGGCCGGAATCGTGAACGTCTGGCGGATGCCGTTCTCCGCACAGGAGGCTGCCAAGAGGTCTGAGGAGAAATCACCACCTCTGTCAGAGTGCAGACGCAGGACAGGAAAGTCCGTCCCGAACCGCTCGCGGAGCTGAAGATGAACAGCGCGGATCCAGGGGATCAAAACATCAGGGACCTCCCCCTTGCGATGCAAGGGGAAGATCGTGGTGTAACGCGTGTAGTCGTCGACGACCAGCAGGAAGTACCGCTCGTGGCCCTGTCCACGGACGCGGGCTGGGCCCCACACGTCCATGTGGAGAGTCTGCAGGGGAGCCTCTATGGGAGGGAACGAGGAGGAGTGAGGAGCGGCGCGCTGCCGCCTCTCGACACAGGGAAGACAGGGAGGAGCAGGCGAGGGTGGGAGGGGAGGGAGAACCCTGGGAAAACCAGAGACAAGGACACGGAGGTGCATGCTACGAAGGCGCTGCACCGAGGGGTGACCAAGGCGGTGGTGCCAAAGGAGGGTCTGGTGCGACAAAGCGCGACACGAGCAGGGGGCTTCTAGCTGACCTGGCGCAGACGCTGACGCAGCGACTTGAGGGGACACAGTAGTCAGTGTGTACAGAGTCGAGCCAGGCACACGGGTAAACGTGGCCAGGTGCCGGCCCGTCCGGGAGCACGTACAGTGGGTCACGCGCTGATCTCCAGGAGTGAAGTGGTCAACCCACTAGTCCTGGAGGTCAGCACCACTCACCAAGTTCGTAGAGAACGGGGGTAGGTGAAGAACTGACAGGGAGCCAGACGGGACAGCCGGACACGGTAGGACCGTGGAGGAGTGCGCAAGTACTGGACCCCCAGAGGGGTCTGCCAGGGAGAATGGAACCGACCGGCTGAGCGGCGTGAGGGTGGTGCTGTCGCGAAAGAAGGAGCGGGAAGCACCCGAGTCAAGTGTGAAGGTGTACAAGGCCTCAGCAGGCGCAGTACCAGAGAGAGCAGACTCACCAGCACCTGGAGCAGCAGCCTCACCAGCACCTAGAGCAACAGCCTCACTAGCACCTAGAGCAGCAACCTCACCAGCACCTGGAGCAGCAGGCTCTATACCTGGATCAGGCGGTACGCACAGGTAACAGGCACGGTCAGCACTAGTAGGCAATGCATACGTGGCAGTGAGAATAGCATCAAAG